AGTGCTGAAATAAAACATCGCTGCCCTGGGAGTGCACACTTCTGCCATTTCTCATTTCCAGGTCTTCAACTTGTGTGAAAACTTATACAATGTAATGGGGGGAGGCAGGGGACACCACTGCTGTGTCAGTGCTGACGAAGGAAAGACAGACTCACTGTTCACCTTCTGTGTGGCAGGAAGGTTTGTTTGTTTGCTGAGGAAAAGGTCAAATATATAACTCTAGTTTGGGGGACGAACAGGAGCAAATGTAACTGGTACATACTGGGCATTTTTGCTAGTTTTTGAACACAGAGGCTTTCCACCTAGAAACAGTTCAAACCTGGCTGTGTCCAGGTGAGATTTCTGCCTTTCTGAACCAATGGATCGCACCTGTTGCACCCCTGATAACAATTTTTAACCCAAACTGCTGCAGGTGCTGAAGCCCAGCCCACAACATCTCAGAGCCTTGGCCCCTTTGCTGCTGCACCCTGGTGCACTGAATGGCAGGTAGCGAGAGACAGATTGGGGTATTTTCAATGGAGATGTTACATGGAATCATTGCACACACCACCTCCCCCTGCGGAGGGGAGTGGGAGGAGCTGTGCTGTGTGCCTCAAGATCTGAACCCCTCAAAGTCTGAACCGAACTTTGCAGATTTTTTTATTGGTTGTTATCAGTAGCTGTAGCTGAACAATTATGACTAAGCACTTGCATTGTGAATGTCATACGCTTGGATAATCTTTTGTTTTGAGGAAAACAGAAGACAACCCCAAGATGAACAGGCTGTCTGGACGAGAGCCGCCAGGAGTGAAGTCAGCAGGATTGGGCAGTACCTAGGGGAAACATAATACCGACAGGGAGTGACTGTGACTATGGACTCACTACCTACTCAAAACGGCCCCCTGGCTCAAATGGAGGGAAGAACTGCACGTGGGAACTAATGAGCAGGAGAAGTGAGAGATACAACTGGCAAATAGGGGTTTGATTGCTAATTAATAGAGAAGTTATGCAACTTGTAACCAAAGAATGACGGTGCATTCATGTTTGTTAAAATGTATCAATAGCGTAAAGTTTTGATGATCGGCAAGCCAGCCTTTCATGGGTAACCACCCAGATCCCTGCTTTGTGCAGACTAAAATAAAAAGTAGAAATACAGAATCACAGAATTGTTAGGGTTGGAAGGGACCTCTGGGGATCATTTAGTCCAACCCCCCTGCCAAGGCAGGGTCACCTCGCGCAGCTGACACAGAAACATGTCCAGGTGGATTTAAAATGTCTCTAGAGAGGGAAACTCCATGACCTTCCCGGGCAGCCTGTCCCAGTGCTCTGCCACCCTCAATGTAAAGAAGCTCTTCCTCACGTTGACGTTAAACTTGTGATTTAGTTCCCGCCCACAGCTGCCCGTCCTGTCGCTGGGCGCGCCGAAGGCCCCGTCCCGGCTGTGCGAACCGGGGAGGGCCGGCTCCGTCCCCGCCCCTCAGCGCCCGGCGGCACCTCCGGGCCGCCAGGCGGCGCTGCCGCCCGCGCCGCCGCCGCTCCGGCCGCCCCCGCCCGTCGCCGCTGGTCCGGGCGGCCACGATGGAGGCGCCGCCGGTCACGATGATGCCCGTCACGGGCGGAACCATCAACATGATGGAGTACCTGCTCCAAGGTGGGCGGCGGGCGGGCCGGGCGACGCGGGTGGCCGCCGGGGAGCGGGGGGTGCGGGGCAGGAGCCGCGCACGGGCGGGCCGGGGGCAGCGGCGGGAGCCCGGGAGGGGGTGACGGCGGCGCTGTGTCCGCAGGGAGCGTGCTGGACCAGAGCCTGGAGAGCCTCCTGCACCGCCTGCGCGGGCTGTGCGACAACATGGAGCCCGAGACGTTCCTGGACCACGAGATGGTGTTCCTGCTGAAGGGGCAGCAGGCCAGCCCGTTCGTGCTGCGCGCCCGGCGCTCCATGGACAAGACCGGGATGCCTTGGCACCTGCGTTACCTGGGGCAGCCCGAGATCGGCGACAAGAACCGCCACGCCCTGGTGCGCAACTGCGTGGACATTGCCACATCCGACAACCTGACGGACTTCCTGGTGGAGATGGGCTTCCGCATGGACCACGAGTTCGTGGCCAAGGGGCACGTGTTCCGCAAGGGCATCATGAAGATCGTGGTGTACAAGATCTTCCGCATCCTGATGCCGGGAAACACGGAGAGCATCGAGCCGCTCTCCCTGTCCTACTTGGTGGAGCTCAACGTGGTTGCGCCAGCGGGGCAAGACGTGGTCTCTGATGACATGAGGAACTTTGCTGAGCAGCTGAAGCCTCTGGTGCACCTGGAGAAGATTGACCCCAAGAGACTGATGTGACTGCAATGTGGGCGGTTAAGGCACTGGTTTTGTAAGGGTTCCAGAAAAGGCTGTTTTTCTAAAAAGCTTTTTGAGGGCAAATCAAAACAGGGAGAGGGGAATAAAGGACTACATACCAGTTCTGTTACTTGCAATTACTGAGTGTCTTTTCCCTTCACTAGTGGATATGAACAAAAGTGGAGACTTCAACACCATTAAAAAAAAAAATTAAATGTTAATATTGGTAGTTTTCCTGCTGGGAAGATACCTATTAAAAGGCTATTGCCTAACACTCTAAAAATGTCATTTTTACTGGAATTCATCCCTCTCGTACCCACAACCCAGTGCTGTCTTTGTTTGGTTTTTTTGAGCACCATTTGCGTTTCCTACCCAGTCATCCAAAATTTTTACGTAATACATGAAGTTAATATCTTTTAATACAGGAGGTTCTGTTTAATACAAGCATAAACCCAGGAACTGCAGTATAAAAGAGCAGGTGTACACCTCTTCATAATAGCACATGTGACAGGAACAGCCAGGACAAAGACGCTTGTAGGGAAACTGTTTCTGATATAACCAAAGTTGGAAGTGGAAGACAATTTAGTAATATTGACATATGCAAGGGGTTTTTACATCTTTTAATGGTGTTCCATCTTTTTCATTGGAGTTGAGTATGGCAGTCTTAGTTAATAAAAAGTAAGTTACAAGCTGTTTTTTGTTATTGGGCTTGTCGCAGCTGACAGCAATACTGAATATTGAAATGTTAAGCGCACTTTTGCTGCATTTTTATAAAAAAAATTATTCGCAATTTTTATTTAAAAAATTATTAAAATAGTACCAGCTGCTAATTGAACTACTGATGATTTTGTTTCGTACCTCTCTCGATAGCACAATGGTTAGTAACCTAATACTTCAGTGATAATTCAGTGCTATTTGAATTAGGTTTTGAGGGTTTTCAAATACAGTTCAATCAAAAAAAGTTTGGGAAAACCAGGAAATATAAAGGAACTTATTTACATTTCTCAAGTTTTTTACAGAGGACAACCATTTTACCCAATACTGTACCAACCTCTGCCTGAAACGTTGCCACACTTCAGCACAAGTTGCTTTATGTAACAACTAAAGGCAGGGACCACTCCCAGAAAAACCTTCAAAAAAAGCCTTTTAAGTTAACAGCTACATTTTCAACACTGGAGTTTGGGCAAGATAAGCCTTGACAACTGATCAGCACTTAACCTAAGTGCAGTGTCTTAAGCATTCCAATGCCACAGGCTCTAGTGTGGATGTGGGGAAAAGCCGAGTACTTGGATGGTACGTGAGCACAACTACGCTGCAGACAGAGCAGTGATTTCCAGCAGGGCAGAAGCAGTGAGGTGTAAGCTGTGTGACTGCTCATTACCCAGACTGAAAGTGTTTTCTAGAGGGTACAAGCACACCTGCAATTCTGTTCACACTAACTGAAGCATTTACACTTTAGATGACAATAGGTCTGACTATAGATTGACCCAAAAATAATAATTAAAAAATTTGTTCTTTTTAGGGAGAATTAGTTTAAACCTTCCAAACTGCAGCTACCAACAGTACCAGGCTTCCTTATTTTAGCTGTAATCCTTGCACAGAAGAGGCAGGTGTGCAGAGAAGAGCTTACTGCATCAATGGCTACAGCTGAGAACACTTTCGGGCAGTTGAAATACTCAAAAAGCATCTCCCTTTCTCCTATCTAATGAAATATATTTTTCTCCTATAAAAGTTAGCTTATAAAAGCTGGAGACTAAAGACTACTAGTATCAGTAATACACACTAGTAAATTGCATGGCATATCCTTAATTATCATTCATTATCCAGGGTCAAATTGTAGTTACACAGAAATGCTCAATCTCTCTTTACTGGAAAATAGGTAGTTCTTAAACTAAGCACATAAGTTATGGGACCAGGAATGTCAAGCGTGACCATATTTTTTTCATTCTATTTTTGGGGATTTCTTTTTGCAAGATGAAATAGCCACATTCTTCAAGGACAGGGCTTGCCTCAGGACTCTGTTGCAATATATTAGCTGAGGCCTGATGCAGCTGAGCTTGAGATAATTTTCTTTTCTGTGCAAGTAATGCCTTCTGTTATTTCAAACTGTTTCTCCAGTCTTGCATACCTATAAGGTTTCTAAAAATTTACTGATTACTATATAAAAAAGAAATCCCTGGGTAGCAAATAAAGGTAGGATTGCTATTGATCCATTAGGCATCAGCTAGTATTAAGAAAGCTTGCTCTGTGGAAGCTCATCTCGGTTCCTAAAGTTATGCTTACTTTGGAAAAAGCCACAAGTGTATCCTTTGGCACATCTCAGTACTGGATCTCTGTTCTTCCCATGGAAGCTTTCAGAATGTTGTTAATTATGTACAAAGGAAGATGAGCTGAAATACTTTGGAATTGCTCTATATGATGCTTACCCTGTATGGGAGCACCTTTTAACATCCCTCTGATATGCGAGCACAAAATGAACTTCTCAATGTATAAACTAATGTGGCATTCAGGTTTTCATCTCAGTAATGTCAGTAACACAAGCAAACTGCTTTCCTGTTAAATGTTTTCTATACATTAGAATATTGTATATAACTTTATTCAAGATTTAAAAGTTAGTTAAAAGGTAAAATGTTTTAAGTAAGTTTCTCCAAAGCACTGGAAAGTTAAAAATAACAAGAAGCCAGGATTTTTCTTCATAATTTTTAATACCTTTCACTTTTAAATACTGGTTTTAAATTTGTGATTGTAACATGTAAGAGCCAACTTCTTTTAACTTTTAAAACTTATGATTAGAATCATAAAGCTATTATAGAACAGTTACAACTCTACACACTCAAGGTACTCAAAAATATGATTCATGTTTTAAGTCTGTAAATAAACAGTGGTAATTCAAATACAGCATTATCTGTACAACTTGACAAAAATACAGGTGGACAATCTGATTAAAGAGAATCTGCACAACTTCAGATAAGCCAGCTCAGCCCAACTAAGTAAAAGGTAAGGTTTTTTTCAAAGTGCATCACATTTTTTCACAGATAAATTCGTCAAAAATGTTCAGGTTCTCAGACAGAATAACAATGACTGTCTCATCTTCATTCCCAGTACAAGTACTATCAAATTATGCCCTTCAGATCTAGTTTGGCAACATTGAAATTCTCCAAACAGATGCAGATAGTCAGAGAATGATATCTGATGGAGAAGACTGCTGCATTTTCAGCCTTTCAAAGTGGTTCATTCTAGAGTCAGGAGCTGCTTCTGCAAAGACCACCACAGCTGCATAAATTCTACTGATCCATTAACAGGAAGAAATGAACTCACAATGCACAGATATGTGACAGTGACTGAAAAGAGGGATGGGCTCAAGAGACAGGGCAAATTGTCTAAAAGCAAAATCCCTTCCAGAAGACAGGATCTAATAGCTACTCACAAGGACAATCTGAGAGGCCTTCTTCCTTCTTTTTTAAAAAGGTGAATTTATACTGATTTCTCAGTCATGCAACTCCTTCTAAATTCTTTAAAAAGCCTCTTACAGCTCTGGGCAGGGCTAGCTACAGTGAAGTACCAGTGCCTTTATCTAAAAGTAAAACATTTCTTTACAAATAGTATCTGTAGTGTAATTTTATTTACAGAATAAATCGCAAAAGTACACCACATTTAGTGCAAATGCAACTAATGATATAAGTTTATACACTGCTTTGTAAACTTTCCATACCTTTGTAAAATAAAGCTATCCAATTAAATTAATAAACTTGCCCGTGTTCCAACAATTACCAGAAATGGCAAATAAGGAGTTAAACTCTTTCTATTTTGGATTTTTTTTTTAAAGTTCCCATCAGTGTCTATGGTGGAATATACCACTGCTTGGTTGATTGTAAAAAGATGAAGTACATTTGAGGTATAAGATTTGTTTTTTTAAAGTTGGTATATAAAATGCTCACTAGTGATATAGTAAACATGTACAAATTTTCATCTTATTTGCCTTACTAACATTACCATATAGGCACTTTTCTACATAGTCAAATTAACAGAATAACTCTGTAATAAGGCATATTCCATGCACACCATTAGAGAAAGGCAAATAAAAAGGGAAGTGTTATGGAGCATGAAATCTGCATGCGTGTGTTAGGTACGGTTTCATCTCTACACAGAAGATGAAGAAAGAAGTTTTTCAACGCTGTGCAGATCACATTTAATCATTTACCAAATCTTCATTGTTACTATATTCTATTTCTTTTCAGGCACCTAGCACACTATATCAAATAAGACTTTCAGCTTTCTTTTGAAAATAAAATGTCTGAAACTATTTTCCTCAAGATATACAGGTTAGTGAAACACTGAGCAGTCTCTGAAGAGCTTCCAACTACAGGACATGGAGAAAAGACCTCAAAGTCAATACTAGCCTGATACAGTCCTCTCCTGATCAGCCTCTCCAGAATCAAAGCTAGGCAAACATCTGACATTTAAATTGTCACAGCAGCCAAAGGGAACTTTCCAGTTAGAACTATGCATTCTTATAGCTCTGATGGGTCTTTGATCAAGAGGCAAATAATTTTCTACATGAAAATAGCTTTTATTAAGATGAGGAAAACACATGCAGGATCTGAAAATAATGTACTCATCCTCATTGTAGACTGGGAATGTTGTCTTATGTAATCCAAATGACTTCAATAAATATTATAGTGTACCTTCTCACAGTTTGGGAAAACCCTGGATATCATGCAAGAAAGCAATCCACATATAGCATGGACAGATGTCTTCTAGGTTTCAGGGAGTCTCTTGCCCTCTTATACAGAATCTTTCTAGATAATTCTGGATCATGTTCAATAACAAAAATTCTGCGGCACATATTACATAACTAAAAAATACAATAGAAATATAAAGATATCTGGAAAAAATAAAGCTTTTCACACTCTTACTCCTTCAGAACTAAAGATCTTCATAAGAGTAAGACAATAGAAAAGGCAAAGTCATAAAGATATTGACAGCCCTCAGTTATTAACTGACATTTTATGTAACAAGATGATTCATTATAGAAATCAGCAGCAATGAACTGTGATTATACAAAGCAGAACAAAACCTATCAACAAGTCACCTACGTTTTACTGAAGCTCCTCCTCCAAACTCCCCCAAAATACCATACAAATTTTTGTGCATATAAAGCACATACAATATGCTATATGTGCATTTGTCTTTTGTGCTTTTTAGACATGCACAAAAACAGCACAAGTATCTTAGGAAGGCCGACAGTGAAATTCTGCAACTTGTTTAAAATTAAAGTGGTAACCCATGTTGGTGATTCAAAGTTGTATATGCTCTTCTTCTAAAGCAAGCAAATAAAAGTAGAGCCATATACATGTTATCAATACATGTATTTATAATTACACACTGATTCAGCAAGAAAAGTTAACAGGAGAGAGCTACTTTTAAATATTCAGCCTCATGGTGTTGCAACACTTCTTCACTTCAGTATACAAAGCCTAGAACTCAGGCCATAAAAAGACTGTAGATCCTTCGTTCCAGCATGGAGTGCTCTATGCATGGTCACTTCTCCAACGTGGAATGCTCACTCAGTCTTGTTCTGATTGCTGCAGGTAAGCAAAGACAAAACTACAGCACTGAAAAATTTGAATGCTAATAGAAAAATGAACTTGTTAAATACTTTAAAGATCACCAGAACTGCTATGATCACATGTGAACTGTTGGCTCGTGACAGCTGTGCTGTTAATGCTTCACCTACACTACTTCTCTAACAACATGAGATTAAAATTGTGAACCATTACAGAATGATGAAATGACTACAACTTTTGGAGTCTGACACAATAAACAGAACCCGAAAATAAAGGGGGGGGGGCTATGTCATGCATAGAAAAAGCAATAAAGGCTCATTTTCAGATGTAACCAAATGATGCTGCAGCAACAGAACACCTAAATGGAATTCCATGGTTTGACATGGAAGTTATACATTAACAAAAGTTAAGCTAAGCCTTACTTAACACTAGGGGGCTCAGAAAACCCCTTAGTGATCAAGAAATCCTCTTCTAATGTCATATCATCATCTAAATACTAAAACAATTTTAGATTAGCTCAATAACCTATACCATTAAAATATATCTATTGACTTCAGGAAGCATCTGGAAATACCTTTTCTTTCTCAGGTTCATCAAAAAGGCTAAAAATTTAAGTCACAGCCTTATAAATACTCTAGTAATTCATGTTGGTCTGTCAGAAAAGTTCCATTAATAAAGATTCTAGATCAAAACTATTCTGTCAGTACAAAAGAATACTTTGAAATGTAGTAATAATCTACCAAATATGCAATTATAAGTAGAATTTAAGATATAAAAACCACATGAGGCTCTAGAGAAACTTCAGTGTGTATTTTTTCAGAAAAAGTGTAAAATGGCTGTGATAATTGAGAAAAAACAATGCTTCATCCTTTCATACTTCTACATAAATTGGACATGTATGCAAAAACTTGCAAGACAAACTATTAAAAGTCTACAAAAAACACTGCTTGCCAACTTACGCAGCCCTTATTTTTCACACTAATAATACACACAAATTACACAAATGTTTTACAAAAGTATATATTGCATAGGAATACTAAAACTAAGCACTGAATTCATGCTAATCAGGTAAGACGTTTCTAGATTGCATACTTCTGTTTGGCCTTAAATTTAAAATGGCAAAGCAAGAATGAAAAAAAAACATATATACCTGCTAATACTAGAATAAAATAGGCTTTCCTGCTGTTTTCTCTTGCACGTATGATGTAAAACGCTTCAAGAACTTTGGATACTCTCGTTTAGCCACTGCTCGTAGCACTGATGCTGGTGCCCATCCTCCTGGGTTCACTACAAGTAAACAGGAAGAAGGACATTGAAATAAAGCAACTCCATTAAAGGCTAGAAAAGAATTTAAGTTCATTATTCCTTCAGCTCTCTCTAAAGTAACAGGAAAGAATAAAGATGAGCAGATTTTTTTTTTATGCCCCTAAGCTTGTGCTGTAGCACTTTCTACTCATAATACTCAAGCTCAGTCCAGGTCTATGATGCCACTATTTATAAAACAGTAAACATGATGTATTGTGAGTCTTGGGAAAACGCCCAAATGGAAGAGGACATTCTCTATGGGCTTCCAAGAAACAAAAGAAAGAGACTTGAGTAACTTTTTACTTCAAAAAAAAACATAAGTCAATCTTAACTTTTCAATAATTGCTGCATTTTTCTGCAGAACTGCTACATAGCCAATGCCTTACAAATTATTTTAAAGCATTTAAACAAAATTTGAACTGATTCTGAATCATGCTTCAATTCATGCAGCAATTATGTTGCTGAAAAGTTACCATATAATCATAGTTCAGAATTTAGCAATGAAAATGTATGTTTTAAGTAACTGTGAAACTTTTTAAAAAAGTAATAAGGTGAGCTACTCTTGAAGTGTTTTGTAGCTCTAGGAGAATAGCTATTAAGTATGCACCTCCAATACTACAATACACTGGTAAATACTGGGTACAGCAACAATACAGTTTGGCTTTGACAACTTTTCAGTCAATATTAAGGATTCTATCAGCTAAAAAAGTAATTAAAGAATGTAGACTAGATTATACTGTTGCAAGCATCTTCGTACAAAATGTATTTGCTCATTCTTGGCACCAAGGGTGAGAAGTGTATCTTTACTATCAGCAGCTTTTCAGCCTAATGAGATGAACTGAGAGAAGAAAAAATTTCAGCAGTACATGAAAAAAACAACACACCACTACTGACACTAAAAGCTATGCCAGCTCATCCCAGTTGCAAACATTTCTGCTCACCTTCCTCCAGCCCAAGGTTGTGTACTTAGGACTGAGCTCCCAGAACACCACAAAATGAATGATCCCATTCATCATGTAGCACATTAATTTGATACTTTTTGAATGTGAAGACCACAAGTGTGATGCTATATATAGATTTAACAGAAAATTGCGTCAATGGTCTTTTTTTTGCCAGTATTCAACTCCCCAGAACTGGCATCTATCATGAATGTCATACTGAAAAATTTTAAACTTACCATTAGCTACATATGTAATCTTGCACAGGATGTTGTCCCTGCTTATTTCCTTGTTCCCCTCTGGTGGGCTTACTAATGTCTGACAAATCATAGCAATATTGATTTTGGCACGGACACAGCGATTGTTCAGCTGTCAAAAAACATGAAACATTGTAAGCCTCACAGTAAAATTGTTTCAGCATACTTAACCACGAACATTTTAATTGACTAAGACGTCTAAGACACTGGAAACCATGTTTCATAAAGTCTGCATTCTAGCACTACATGGACGTAGCAAGAAAGTGAGTAAAATGAAAGGTAAAAGGTGAATAGGGAAAGAATTAAACTAAAATGCCTGAATTTCAAGTTTCTGCTTGCTTAACACAAGTGGATTACTTCAATTATTGTGACAAATCAGTAAAGGAACATTTCAAGGATAACGCATCAGTTTACAAATATCAGTTAACTTTTCCCTTGACAGCAAGCTATGGCATAGCAACCCAAAGAAAACAATCATTGCTACTGATAGAGCCAAGGCAAAACTGTATAAGATAGAGACTTAACCATATATACACTCATACAAGCCTACTCCTGTATCTGACAATACTGAAGAGTTATTAATTTGGATCCATATAAAATAACCTCTGTTCTTTAAAATTATTTCACATCTCCAGAAATTTTGCTTCCATTCTGATGAAACACCTTAGATTTGCCCACTGAGAGATAAGGCAAGAAAGCTTTTGGCTCAGAATGCCTTCATCAGGTCATTGTATCACCTGGTTTAAATTAGCTGTATTTTTGTATAAGCCCCCCATCTCCCCTCACATTAATATTGCAAATGCATTACCACATAATAGAAAAACTTCACCTTAAAAGCAGAACTTCATAGAATCAAAATAATACTTACAGGAGCACTGTCATGTTCTACAGAGAAATTGCACACAATCCATGTTTCTGGATCATTTTCACTAAATGCTGGTATTTTTCTGATGGCAGACAAATACAGCACATCCCTTTGAGAAGCTGGCCACACCCTCTGCAGAGAAACACCTGAATATAAGCTTTTCCAGGTTTGCAAATTAAGTACTTATTAACCTTAGTTAAAGGAAAAAAACCAAGCAAGACAAACCAGGTCAGTTATGTCATTGAGTGTTTCTTCAAGTCAGTAATTTCATTTCCAAAACTGAAACAAACATACTGTTATAAGTAGGTTAACAGAAACTTCAGGTTGTGTGGCTACACTTCATGCCAAAAAAATTAAGGTATAACTTTATGGCCTTTGAAATGCAGGGAGCCAAGCTGCAATGAATTTTTCAGTAGAAAAACAGGAAGAGGCAGCTCCCTTCCTGTTTCCTCAACCTCAGGTTTACATTTTAGTTAATACTTGTAAGCTACAAACTAAACTAACGCTTAAGTATATAGCGATGTATCTACATTTACTTATGCCTCTGGAGAGAAAAAAAGAGGAGAGACATATTTAAAACAATTATTTCCAAAAAGCTACTTCTTCAGTAAGACAGATATGGCGAACAGATATTATCCAAGAGAAAGTCTGAGATACAAAATGCCTGGTAAAATAAGAAAATATACAAAAGCTTTCCTGACTTTCATGACACTCAATAGGATAAAACTCTGGCTTTTACCAGAATACAATACAGATTACACAATGTCTTACTCAATCATGAGTCCTCTGTTAAAGTAGTCTAAACCTAATCACGCTACTGTTAAAATGGTCAAAGAAATATACCCGTTTGAACATTTGAGTATACTAATACCTAGAAACATGCAAGAAAAAAGATGAATCTGTATATTTCATTCCCATCCATTTTTAAAATTTTTAAGTTACAGTTGTTGGATTGTAATTCAAATTACCATTTTTTTTAATTGACAGCAGAACCATTTTGGAAGGAAAAACAATGAAGATACAAGAACAAATGTTGTATCAACAATTATAAACCCTTGCATTATGAGGTGGTATGTCAGCTAACTGTGGTTAACAGTAGCTTGTATTTTTGCAAAAAACATCTGATACAGTGGTATAGGATTCTTTCCTGTAGTACGTGTTTATTTACTGCTTCTGTTTGCCTCAGATGACTCTTGCTGGCAGTAATACAATTATGAGATTAAAACCAGTCCTCATTTGTTATTACAAACTCTATCAGACACATACACAACCGATTATGCTCTCAAGACAAGTTTGAAAAATTGATGAAGTTGCAGTTTAATAGAGAACTTCTTCTGAAATGTTGTTCTGAAGAGTATTTTAAGTTGTTAAGCCAGCAAAGTACTCAGAGTAATATTGGAATACACATTCCTCGGACTGTCTCAGTAAGGTATGCATATGGATGAAATGTTATTACCTTATGTGTCTGGTAAATGATGATTGCATTATCTGCTAGATTTTCCACAACATGAAAATTTTCAATTGTTGCTAAAAGAAGAGGGGAAAAAAAAATAAATCCATCAGTAAACAATCACAGATACATTAGGTCAACAATATCTTTGCTGATAAACATGCAAAGTCGAAGAACCAATTCCTTACTTTCCCAGTCATTACGAACATCGACATTCCAGAAGTAGTGGCAAACTTCATGCCCTGTTACCCCTTTAACAGCATGCGTTGCTTTCAAAGGATCTAGAACTATTCCATTCTCTTCCACCTCTCTTCTGTATACCTACAGCCAAACAGAAAGAAAGAAATGTAGAAAAGAAATTGTCAAAACTGTTCATGTGTTTAATTGTTTAAATTTAATCAGTAAAAAACCCAAACAAAAACAAACCCACTTACCCAGACGACTATCACATGAATTTGCCATGAGAGTGTTCTCTGGTAACCACTGTTGCAGACATTCTAACATGGCAATTCACACTGAAATACCAGCACTTGAAGGATCCCTACTCCAAAAATTATTAAGCTACCTTATTTATCACTATGCACAAGGATTCATAAGCACAGCAGAGCAGCCAACACAGTAGCTTGCTACTCTAATATTTTTGTACGTTGAATTTACACATTACTTTGATACCAAGCTTTAAGCAGGAGGGAATGAGAAAGTAATCTGCAAAGACAAAGCTATTGCAAGAGTTACACTGGATTTTGTATGAATAAATATATTGGAAGCCACAAATCTGGTGGACTCCAATCCCAATCTAAACAATGCTATTCTCAGAGAGAAGTTTCAACAGCCTAACTTGCTGAGTGATAGTGTTGCAGAAAATCACAGAATCATTTAGGTTGGAAAAGACTCTTAAGATCATTAAGTCTAACTGTAAACATAACACTGCCAAGTCCACCAGACTGAAAGTATCTGTCTTCACAGCATATCATCTTACACAAATTAAACAAATGTTTACCTTCATTTCTCCTTCTTCTACCACTAGCTGCCAATTGGCATCTCCTCCTACATCTTGCAAGGAATATGTCATATGATTTTGCACCATCTCTTCCACCTTTAAAGGGAAAAAAAAAAAAAAAAGGCTTTTTAACTCATTCCTTCCATCTTTTTGTGCAGATACTGTACAGCATTGGAAATCAGAAGTCAATACTTCAGTTCCTGCGCAGGAGATCAATTTGAGAGCTTTCTATTACAGGTTAAGAACAAGCAGACAGTGCTAGCCTTCAGAAACAAAGCCAAAATCTTGATTTAACTTCCAACTTCATTCTTTGTGGGCACTTCCTATCCTTCCTTTGTGCCTCTAAACTGTGAAATCTCACTACTTCTACCTAAAACAGTTTTATTTCAGCATATAGGAATTTCAGTTATCTCTAAATAGAATTAAAATGCACTGTAAGATATTCATTGAAGAGCATTTAAAAAGCTGAACAAAGGCAGGGGGTTGGGGAAGAAGACTGACAAGCTCTAAAAAAGTGAATACATATCAAAAGTAATATTGGAAGAGCAGTGAAGAAAACAGTCATGAGCAAAGCATGCCTGCTCTGTTTCAATGGCATCTTTGCACAGTTGCCAGCTATGACAAAAAAAAAGAACAGAAATGCCTACATTCAAAAGATTATGATGGTATAGAGACTCTATTATTCTACAGAGACTACATTATTCTGTTTCTTTGGTTCCCCACCCCCTTTCAAATGCCCCAATTAAAAAAGGAAACAAAATTATAAAGTATCCATTGCTGTGTAATGCTTCAAATATTGAAAACATTCGAATATCTTTTAGGTGGAAAAAAGTTAAATGACTACTAAAACTTGTCACAGCAAGCAAGTCCACGTGATTCACACAATTTTCCTGAATTTCTAGAAATACCTTTTTTTTTCAAAAGGAAAAGCATTACAAGCAAAGGTTAGTTAATTCACCAACACAAAGATTAGCCTAAGAAATTCCCAATCACAGGATTATTAGCCTGAACCTTAAAGTGCTTTTGCACAACTTACAAAAATATGAAGTCTAGTATGCAATAAAACAACATATAAAACGTATATTTGAGCAAATAGTAAAACAAGTAGAAAGCAAAATTAATAAACAGTGATATGATATAGAATGGAAGTTCTATGGAAGATGTTATTTACTTTTAATTTAAGGCAGTAATTTTGTTTGTATTATGTACTCCATGGGCAATACACTTAAGACCAGGAAGAAAATAGGTAACTGAATGAAGCCAAAACCTTTAAAGTGCAACATCAAAATAAAACCCATTAGATGGAAATTCTAGTTTGTCTCAGTTTAATGACAGACTTCTTTAGAGAATGAAAAGTTATCACTTCAGGTTTTGGAGGATTTTCTAGGTGTTTTGTTTTTGAGTTACAGTGAAAAAACACTCCCAAGATTTTTGTTTCTGCTTTTGGACAAATCAACTTTTTCTGCCAGTTACTAGAAGGTTTTTCCTTCAAAAAGTTCTTCTGTTTTTCTTATCCAGTGAAACAGTGACAATTAGGTAAGAATGTGGGCTATTTAAAAATTCAATTTATTAGATTAGATTACACTTCTAGATTACACTTCTAGATCACACTTCTAGATTACACTTCTTTCAGAAAGCAATCCTTACCATGCTCCCAACATTTGCTTGCCACACTTTCTGGTCCCCGTGCCTCTTCTCCCCCACCTCTTCATTTATTAAGGACAAAGCTATCTCTTATACATTTATTTTTCTCTTTTGCTACTTTTTGCTTTATACTAAATGCAGAGGGATGAAGGAAATAGCAAGGAAAGAAGAGAAGGAGGCATCCACAGGAGTGCCATCTAAACAGATTCTTACTTCTGCTTCACCAGGAAATGCAGTACCTACAGAATTGCCTTGCGCATGCTATCTGCCCAAACCGTATTTAATCTGAAGTCTGGTCACTGTCTGTAAACTCGCACCTATTTCAGAGGCACAGAGTCAAGATTCACAGACCCTCTCCCACTGGAGAGGTTCACTATTACCTCTGGGTTCCTAGCAGGCTACAGAATAGTCTGCAAAAATACCTGTAACATGTATGCCATGCAGCCTTGGCCTGAACATTAAGTGGCAAGTTCTTCACTTCAAAGGGCCTCAGAACACCTCAACCTATTAGAAAAGCTGCTATTTCTTTAAGAAAGTGATCTGACCTTGCACTCAACTGGCAGAGGCAAATCAATGCCTTTCTAGAGGCACACTGAAGAACCAGTTCCCATTAGAATACATTTATACTTCTCAGTCTTAAAAACAAGGTTGCAAGTTTCTACTTGACCTTTTCCCAATATCAAAATTCCCTCCATTCATATGAATTCTAGAAAAAAAATAATTTTTTTAAGAATTGAGATATTAGCCTGCCTTCCCAAAAGCCAAATTGTCAGCCTGGGGCCAGAGGCCAATTTTTTATTAATGAAGTCCAGAGCAGTTGTAATGAAAAGATTTGCTGCTTTTCTCATCTTGCTCTCTGTTGTCTTTCACCTGCTTGTTCACTAGAAATGAAGCTCCAGAGCAGGTGTACTGACTTGTTGGTTTGGCAAAAATTTGTTCTAGAGAAAACACATAGGGGATAGGGGTGTGTGCGGGGATAGTAGCTTTCCGTAAATGAAGATCATTCTTTCTGCAGTGAGTCCATTAACTTGAAACTGCATTTAAAGGTACTCTGTAGTAATTTCCATGTAGTAAAATCCATGCAGCAGCTGAAAAGAGCAATTTGACTCCAGCCCATTTGATGTTGATACATAATCACAATTTGCATTATTGTGATAAAGACTTAGTCCATATGAGATTTGTTTTTAAATTATTAGTTCTGCAGTCACAGTACTGCTCTGATATTTAGATTTATCATATGAACACAGAAACGTTATCACAGGCATAAGAAGTGAAAATGACGATGTCTGTGTATCTTAGCAACTATGAGTTTTCCTTCCTGTATACCCATAACCTGACAGAGTACCCGTTCCTATCTTGGCAATCAAACTTGCTTTCTATTACTTACTACTCCCTGACTTTATTATCCCCTCCTCCCAAAAAAAACCTGAAAGACTAACTCAACTACTGGAGAACCAGCAGATAAGCCTATCAGTGATATGCAAGAGGACTTGCGTACTTTTTTCCTTGTGCTAAGTTCAAATTTCAGAAATAAACTGACTGCAAAAATGTTGAGATTTTAGTCCAATAGACAAATCTTTAAGGTCCTGCTCATGAAGGTGGTAATAAGGTCTGCAAGTAGTAAAATTCCAGGCTCCACTAATGAAGCAAACAAAAAAAATCCATTCCTATTTGAAAAAAGATTTTTTGGAGTGTTTGTTAGCAATTTAAAAAAACCTCCAAAATAAGAGATCCCAGAATAAAGCTCCATATTCATAATCGCATAAGGACCACAGTAGAAGAAAAGTAATAGCATAAATGCCATACCCAAACAACATTTTTGGAGACCAAAAAACCTCATGTGAATGCACCTACCTAATTCTAGTCTAAACTATGATCTTCAGACCAAGCACCTATAGAAATTTTGGACACCACTGGAACACGTCACTGTGGCTACACTGACGTACTCAGGATGTCACACGTATTTTCTGAAGGATAAGCGAATACATAGATATATAAACTCCTCAGTAAAATTTATCATACCCACGATCTTGTTTGTCAACATACTTTATGGCCTTTCAGTAATCAAACCAGTTGAAGAGGTAAAAAGCAGTGATAGTCAACCATAATATTTAGCATATTAATGTCACTACAAACAAATGTTTCAGATTAAAATCAAACCTTTGACTTTAAAAGCGCAAAAAAACATTCAATATGAAGAAAGACCATTTCCAGCCTACATAAAGCAGGTGTTATTTTACCTTATTATAACTAGAAATAAAAAAATTTCAAATTGTAGGTATTTTTTTTAAAGTTATTGAAAGAAATCAAACGGTTTTACAAGATTTGGGCCTCTGCACAAGTGGTATGCATGCAAGCTGGATGTAAAGAAAGACAACCATTTAGTATAGGAATAGAGAACTCCTTTGTTTGTCTCAATGTACTAGTTTAAAGCAAGCAGTGATTGATGTAACAAAAAACCCAGGTTTTAGAGAAGAAGATGAAATACAGTAAAGATATGCAACCCCCACCTGACACATCAGTACAGTACCTGGGAGCTGAATCTGTGAACATCATCAGAGGCACTGACTAGATCAATGGAAGACATGGAGGAAGAGCGACTATAGGGCTACCAGAGACAGACAAAGAAAAAACCAAGTAATCAGAACAAAGGCACAACAGAGCGATCAGTACCAACTTGCAAGCACAAGATAATGAAGAAAAGGAAAACAAAAGCACCATAAGCAGCAAGCACAGTGGTGAATGCTGATTTCATGCACCTATTATATATTATGCTCCCAGTGTAGCCCTGACAGGAGCGTAGTGTTTCCAGTAACACTAAAAAACAGCCAACTGATTTTGATGCAAAAGACTAGATTTTTATTTTTATTGTTTTTAAATAAAATCAATTCAATTAATTTGGGTGAAGGTATCTTGAAAACACTGGGTTTAGCCAGTTGGGATTTTTCCTTTATTGTCTGACTGACAGGCTTAATACAAATCAAGAGTATTCTAAACAGATACTCAAATTAGTATTTTTTAAGCCAAGACAAAAAGAAAAGTCCTTCAATTCCAGCTACTTTATTTGAAAATGATTAGACCATTGGAAGTTACTAGAAACACCTGAAAACCTCATCTATTGTACAAAATATTATACAGAAACACCACAGACCAGCCCATTATTCTGAGGAGATCAGGAAAAATATCTCACCGTTTGCACAAATCGATGAGTCCCCACAGCAGTATATGCATCTCCAGAAGGTAAGGATGTTGGCCAGTGTAATCTAACCTTTTCACTTTGGGACTGCAACAACATAGGTTTAATTATTATTAGTCAGCTGCTATTGGGTGGACTGTGAAACAAAGTGAGTCATGCTTAATGTACACAGTGACTACAAGAACTAATGCTGTCCATGACAGGAATGAAGCTGTCATTCTGCTGGAATTCTCATTAAGTGAGTGGGCCTGAAGACTGAATTCATCCAAACTTCAAGGTGCATTTCTTAGTTAAGGAAAACATATCAAGGATGCATGTAGTACTATCACAGTCACTAAAAACTTACACTCTCTGCTAAGAGACCCCAACATAGGTAAGCTTTGTTAGTTACTACATGTCCACTAGAAAGTTTTTTAAATCTCAAGTATTTGTTATTCACTATATTCCTAAGCATATAAGCGTTTAACACAAAGAAAGCACTACTTTGTTATTCCCCCTCATTTTATATACTGCTATACTTTCTAATATTCTACATACTTTCCTCACATGTATCTTATCCCTTTTTGATCCTTGTCACTGAAGCGTATTCAAGAAATGAGTTAGAGAAGTAGCCAGAGCCCACAGAACTTTTGAATAAAACCAAACACGAACAGAACTATGTCTTTCCTATTTCATATACCACTAGAGTAAAAAGAAATTTTAGGTTTTGGAGGCAAATGTAGTGTTCGATATTCTTATTTCGATAGGGCATCAGTTACGTATAAAGGTAAGTTTCATACAGAACACTTATTTAGGAATTATAAACTAGAGACATTAAATTAATTTAACACATACTATCCTTCTCTATACAATCTGTGAAGTCACTTTCTCAAAACTGGCATAAAGCAACAACATTTAATTGTAAAACTGATCTCCTGATCAGCGTCAGAATAAAATATCTACAGTTTTGGAAGATGCACCTCAAGACTGAGTTTAAGTTACAGAAGTCTCTTGTGAAGTGCTCATCATTAAGGTATTTTTCAAGTATCAATACCTGTTCTTCCATTTTATCCTGTCTATCAAGAGCAGCTTCAACAGCATCAAAGAATTCTTCTTCATTAATCAGACTATTAGGACCCTCCTAGAGGATAAGAAACAAAAGTAGTTAAAAATTCTGGAGACATGAAAGTTCCACTTCAATTTATTATTAGAAATATATATATATACATACACATATATAAAAATAACTGAGGGAAGCAAGTTTCTTCTATAGATCTCAAACATTTTCACCAATATTTTTACATTACAAATCCTCAGAAAACCTGTTAAGGATAGTTGTATAAAGAAGAAAAAAAACCCAGGAAACTGAGTAATAGCATCAGTATGCTTTGACGTCAAATTTAGGTTTTCATTAACAAATATGTTCTCTTGAAATGCTTACAGTGTGTCAGTGAAGTACACCTATTAACATACTTGTGTAGTTAGACTCCTTCCAAGTATTTCAGTGCCTTAAGGCATTGAATTTCAGGTATTTCCTCAAAATATAACAAGAGAAGAGAAAATTCTGCGGACCTCTATTGAAAATTCTTGGAAAGCCCAGTTAAGCACTAAACAGCAGGTAGAACTGAGTCAACAATTAAAAACTCCAGTTTACTAATTAAAATGGTAATTTCATAAAATTAGGTTTGTTTCTTTTACTGTATTGTAAAACAACCTGGTCCAGCAAATTAAAAGACCCCTACTTTACAACAGAGATACCTGGAAGAAGCAGCTGGGTTCATAACCAAGTAGATAAAGTCCAACTTCCTATCCATTTTTTAATATTACAGTGCATGCCTCAGTGATAAAAGATAATCTAAGCTCAAGTATCTTAAATATCTGTATAGTATTATTTCTCAGGCTATGACTTGTAAGAAGAAACATGTTTGATTAATGTACATGAAAGAGTCAAGTTCGTAAAAATTATGCAAACTGCATTATAGGTGCATTATCTTACATTATTATTGTGGATGCCTCATCCATGTAAGTGTTCAAGGCCAGGCTGGATGGGTCTCTGAGCAACCTGGTCTAGTGGAAAATGTGTCCCTGGCCATGGTGGGGGGGTTGGAACCAAACGATCTTTAAGGTCCCTGCCAACTCAAGCCATTCTATGATTAATCTTCAAAAGGTAGGTTAAGCATCTCAGAATCAGACTAAATATCTCACTGAGGAGGATGCTAATGAAATATGCAATTTAACAGAAGGAACCTAAAATCACTGAATTTGACAACACCATATTTCAAGTGGCAGTGACAAACTAAAAATCAATTCAAGTTAGACTTCAGATTTTAGGACTGCCTCTGCAGTCAGGGTTTTCATATTTGCTTTACATATCTCTACATCTGAACAAATAAAGAGTACAATACGTACAATACGAGTACATATAAGCAGTATCAAATGTAGAAGAAAATAAAATCAACAGATATATCTATAAGAAACACACTTTAGACAACATCAGAACATGGAATGTAAAGATATATTTCCACTTGCAAGAAATTAAGGACTCAGATTCTCCATACAGTTTCAGTTTTCAAGGTGAAAAAGTAAATGTGGCATGAACACATTTGTAAATCACACTTGCACAGGCTTGTGCAACACCACTTTCCCCTTCGATAAACAACCCAATCTTTACAAGTGTATTGGGTTTGTGTGGCCAGGTTTTGGCAGCTAGGGGGGGCTACAGGGGTGGTTTCTGTTAGAAAATTCCAGAGCTTCCTCCGTATCCAGCAGAGCCAATGTCAGCCAGCTCCAGGACACACCTGCTGCTGGCCAAGGCTGAGCCCATCAGTGACAGTGGTAGCTGCTCTGGGATAAGAAGAGGGGAAAAAGCCTGTGCAACTGCATCTGGAGAACAGCAGAGTGAGAAACAACTCTGTAGATATCAGTGAAGGAGGAGGAAGAGATGCTCCTGCTGCTGGAGCAGAGATTGCCCTGCAGCCTATGGTGCAGCCCTTGGTGAGGCAGCTGTGCCCCTGCAGCCCATGGAGGTCCATCTGCAGTGGATCAGAGATCCACCTGCAGCCTGTGGAAAGCCTCATGCTGTAGCAGGTGGATATACCCAAAGGAGGTTGTGACCCTGAGGGAAGCCCCAGATAACGGGCAAGACCTTTGGCCCTGTGGAGAGAGGAACCCACACTAGAGCAAGTTCACTGACAAGACTTGTGACCCTGTGGGGGACCTACACTGGAGCATTCTGTTCCCTAAGGACTGCGCTGAGTGGGAGGGACCCCCACTGGAGCAATTAATGAAGAACTGCAGCACACAGAAGGAGTCATGTTGGAGAAGTTCATGGAGGACTGCCTTCTGTGGGAGGTATCCCACACGGGGGTAGGGGAGGAGTGTGAGGAGTCCTCCCCCTGAGGAGGAAAGAGTGGCAGAGACAATGTGGGATGAACTAACCACAACCCCCATTCCTTTTCCCTCTGTACAGCTGAAGGATAAGAAGCAGAAACTGGAGGTAAAGTTAAACACAGGAAGAACAGAGGAGCAGGAAAAGGGTGTTTTTGAGATTTGATTGGTAGTAAACTAAGCTGAGTCTGTTTTGCCTGTGTCAGCAATTGCTGAGTGAGACCTCTGCATCCTTATCTCCACCCAGAAGCCTTTTATCATATTCTCTCTCCCTGTCAGCTGATAGAGCGACTTGGTGGGCACTTGTTGTCCACCCAGGGTCAGCCCACCATAAAAAGTCATAGCATTTTAAAAAATTTCAAAAGCAGAATTCATACCTCATAGTCCGGCCCTCCGAAGTGGGACTTTTTCTTCAGTTCTGTCACAGCATTTTTGTAGGCTTCTTCAATTCTTCTCCTTTTCTCTACCTCCTGTAAAATTACATGACCATTTGATGCAGTGAGAATGAATTGTCAACATGTCAACAAGTAGAATGACCAGGATAGTTTTTTCTCCAAGTAGCAATTGAAAACCTGATGATTTTCTGAATATATTTGCATTACATGTGCCTATATGCATGTATATATAATAGTAAGCTTGGGGAACTAGCTATCTTGAGGATACTTTTTAATTCCTGTGAAAGAAACTAGATCAGCACTAAAAAACCAGTTTCTAGTTTAAGCATGGTTCATTGAGTGTCATATTTTGTATCTGACAGTTTATATAAACCTCCTTGATACAGATGCTTGGGCAGGGATAACAAAGGGTAAAAAGTAAAACTAGTAAAAGGCTAATGTGCTCAACATGGTGATATACTAATGAGTTACATCCTGTGAATTTGTATCCTAATTATAGGATCAATGTGAATAATTTTGTGGACTCCATGCAAAGACTAGCAACTTGACATCATTCTTACATAATAGGTTGTGACTGTAATAGAGCCACTGATGGTGTCTGTATCACTGTATATTTTGAATAAGATAGTAGTAACATCAGAATCAGATTAGGTCTAATATTTCCTCTGCAAATTCTGCATACTGCTAGATACTTTCAGCGAAAAAGCTACAAAGATTTCTGAAATTCTTGCAGAATTCAGCTTTTATATGTGAGATGTTTCTCTGTCCCCTCTCAGAATCTGTTCAAGTGAAAGAAAGTTAAGTCTTACAGGTGACAACTGGACAACACACACTACTTCGTGTAGATACGAGTTTATTCAGACTACTCCTTGCAGATATGGGCATAGTTATTCAGCAACCCAAACTGAAATGTAAAGATTCAGTGGAAAACCACGAAGCAATATGGAAAGGCTGAGTTTACCAACTAGGAATTTGAAGGTAACATTCACTCTGGAACATTCCACTTTCTAGTAGAGCAATAGCTTTGATGTAAAACAAAGTAGTAGTTTTCCCCAGAAAAATAAAAAAAACAGCACTTAGACTAAGACAGTATTGTCTGTAACTGTGACTGTAGGTTTTTATCTTCTGAAACTGTCATGAAGAGGCAGAAACTGCTAACAAATTTCACAAAATTTTGCGTGGTTTTTTTTTTGAAAGATAAACTGGAGAGTTGTGAAGATGCATAAAGCATGACTTAAGTATATGTCACTGAGAGAAAGCATAGAAATTTTACCAGACTTGGAATGAAAAACAAAAAACAAAAAAAAACCCTCAAAAAATACCCCTCTGCCCAAAACACAACTCCTCCTCCCACTCACCCCAAATCTCCACACTTTCTGTACTTCAATCTGCAAACTAGTGATAATTCACATATGTCAAAATACAGCTCTCCAAATTTGCCAGCTTCTCTTGGCAATAACACTAAATAAGGCAGAAATTGGGAAACTGATTGCACAGCAAAAAAAAAAATAAATTACTTGCTGTATTAAAACTCCGTAAAATTTAAAGAGACATTTAAGTTTCAAACATCAAAGGTGAACGAAGTAAGTGACCTAAACATATTATTATTAAGGTAACATTTAATGTTCAGAAGATAAATTTGCTTATTAGTAACAATTAGTGAGACCAAACGAAACAAGAACAAAAAAATGCTGCCGTAGTCAAGAAAATATGAAAAGCATTATCACAAGGACTTTGTTGAAAATGAAACAATGGTCCAAATACTAAAGACAAAATCCTTTTCTTGTGTATCCATTTTAAGAAAAGTCTATTTTAAAACACACTTAACATTTTATATACTGCACTGGAAAAATAAAAAGTCAAGCTCAAGATCTTAAGAGTTAAGCGTAAAAGGTGGAAAGAAAAGCTGTAACTACAATTACCTTTAGAAAACACTATTTGCTTTTGTATTAATTTTATTCAGGCCATCTATTTTGGTATTGAAAGAAAACTAGCCACAGAATCTGTACTTTAATCATCTCACAATATTTATTTCCTTCTCAGAGCATTTTACACACCTAGACAAGAAAACCAAAAGTACAAAGATCTATACCATTCTCATCCCATGTCTATTCAGAGGGCAAAGCAATGGTTTTGCTCAGGCCCAGAGTTATAGAAGGCATTATTTATAAAGCCATGTTTAAGTACTAGATAATATTAAACCAAAAGCAGCTCTTTTATGGAATGCAGAGCTGTGGAATAGTGGTAGCAGAGGTCTGAATACAGTCATCTGCTGTCCTTAGGGGTGTGGGTGTCAAGGTGCTGCTCACAGGAGATTGCAAGGGTGGCATTTGTAGGAGTAGATCAGGGTTTCACTCTCAGCCAAAGCTATTTCACCATAATTCTATGTTGTTTAATTCATCAAAAAACCTCCTGTTCCAAAAGACTACCCAATAGAGAAATACAAAGTAATTATTTTATATTAGAATTAAGGTAATTTACCCTGTGTGTCGCCTAAACCCCATTAAATTTCATTGACAAATGTAACTTTAAAAAAGTTGCAAGTCTACTAGAGCAGAGCAACTTAAAAGCTCCAAGGTTTCAGAAGCTTTTGCCGCTTTAATTTCTAGGAAAACAAGTCAAAATAAGTTTGTGACCCCCTTTAAAATGTACTTAGTCATGCTGTATGAGATATTACTCACATGAGACCCAAAGTGAAATTTAGGTTGGAATTTGCTAACCACTTGCAGCTTAAACAAGTGCTTTAAAGTTAGTCCACAGGAAAATATAAAAGTGAAAAATAACTAATATAAATAAATTAAAATTTTATATTAACATATTATTCTGCATTAAAATATACTAAACTAGGGGCAAAGAAAACATCCCTTCATCCATGCTCTAAGGAAAGCCTGATCAAATCAAGTGAACTGTGTTTGCTCAGCACAGAAATGAGGTTTTTTTGCATGTGGGCCTAAGAGTAACCTTCCAATACCTTCAAGAAAGTCATAAAGAAACCAAGCCAGATGCTTCACAGTAGTTTAGAGCAGAAAGATAAAAAACAAGAGGCAGATACTGGAATATCCAGTTACTCCAACTGGACATAAGGCAAAACTTTTTCACTCTAACAACAGATGAGCAGCAGAACGGGCTGCCCAGAAGTGCTGTGCAGTCTCCAGCCTTGGAGACCTAAAACCAGACTTAGTAAAACCCTGAGCAACTCGATCTGACCTCAAACTGTCCATCCTTTAAGCAGAAGATTAAAGAGAGAGAAACCTCTTGAGCTCCCTAGTCCAACCCAAATTACTCCCAATCCTATGAACAGGCTTCAAGTCTTGGACTTACTGTAATTCCTCCAACTGCTTATTGTTGACAGAAGTCACAATACAGTTAGACAGGGCCAGGCCTTTGGCATATGAACAAAGACAATACACGACTCAAATATGGATGTATTTTGTCTGAGTATGTTCACTCTTTGAATAGTGTACACTAAATGTAGTAAAAGGTGAAGCATAATATACACCACATGGAAATACATTAAAAAAAAGAGAACAAAACAACAGCTGCTCTGCACACCAGCCAGTGATGGCATGATTATGGAAACTAAAGCCTGAAGTACAACCTGCCATGCCTCCAACAACAAATCTCAGGCAGGAAGACACTGTTCCTTTAGAAGTGTTACAGTGGTTGAGTAGGCTTAGCATGAACCACCACTGCCATTAGAATAACAGATACTGTAACACTACGCACGAATAATTTAACCAATTAGTATAAAACACAATTTAATCTCTTCAATTTGCCAAAGGAAAGTGAAATAACTGTATCTTGAAGAGACTTTTCAAGTTACAACTGGTTCTCCTATTATCACCATCTCTTATCACATTAAAACATTTCAGAGACTCGCACATCATTTTGCACATATGGATAATTATATCCATGTTAGAAGGCTGCAAGCAACACACTTACTATTATGAAATAATGTCAAGTGCTTTATAGATATAAAACATATAGGATTACCATCTGTGTAAGAGCTAGGAAAAGAAAGGCTATGATGAATAGTATTACTATATCACCAGTAAGGATGAGGCCCTTAACATTTTATAGGGGTGATAATGAAAGCGCCTAAAATTAATAAATATTGTACATAAAAATAAAAGCAGTTCCTGTAGTAAAAAATTAACAACAGCTCATTTGAAATTTTAGTTTCAAGCTACAGAAAACTTTTTCCAGCAGAAGTAAAAGGAAAATGATCTTACCTTATCTAGCCTTTTTTGCCAGCTTTCTTCACGTTTTACCATGAGTTCAATACAATGAGAGAGTGTAGCAAGGATTCCAGCAGTAGTTGCCTTGAAAGTTATAGCTTCTCCTTTAAAGTCTATGCCATTAATTCCTTTGGGTGTCACATGTGGAAACACTAAAAACACACATAAATGAATCTCTGATAACAGCCTTTAAATCAAACAAGCACTTTACATGTATGTGCTATATTTGAAGACAATAGACTGGTTAGAAAAAACCCCTAATTTAAAAATAAAAATCAGAAGTGGTAATAATGTTCAGCTATCCATCGCTACAGCTTCATCTTGCTATACTGTATTTCAAGCCTGCTTGTAATGCTGTATTACTCTGCACTCTGCAAATCATGTGGGTGGAGGGAGTGGTAATAATTTGTAACAATAGCAGTTTGACAGCTCGAAATGGGGCCTAATTAACACAGAGCAACCTTAAAACATATCGGATACAGCACTAAGAAAGGAACAATTTCAAAACGTCATCAAACCCAAAATGTAATACTCAAGGTTTCTTTAAGCACGCAATTATAGATTTTAAAACCTCACAGTAAAAAGGTCTAAAATGAAAGTATCAAATGTGTGGAATTATCCAAGTACTGTGGGTTTTGCAGTTCCAACGTCTACTTCATGCTGTCAACCACGCCATCTGTTGCTAAGGCTATTCAAACAAGTCACTTAAAATGCGTGACAAAAAAAAAGTACCTATTACATGTCAAACTGGTATGTAGGCTGACACAATAACAAATCAAGCACTACACATGAATGTCAGAAAATATTAGAAAGCAGAAGTAACATTCAAGTTGAAGCTGATGGAGCCCAGCAAGTTAAAGTAACTCTTGTTATGCCGCAGAACAGTATAATGACTTATCACCTAGATTAATATTACTTTTCCCCCAGTCTGTCAGTTTGTCAACATGCCACTGCTATAGTTTTAAAAAGTATAAAAAAGTATTTGAGTAAGTTTACCCAGTATCTGTCTGCAAGGGCAAAGTAGGGCTTTAATCAGCCCAGTTCTTGTAAGGAAGATAAATGCTATTGCCATTCCCTAATGGCACAGCACAGTATCTGCACTTTGGGAACAGAAAGCAATTGACACAGAGTCTTCAACAGTGATTTAAGTCTCCAGAGGTTTTTTATGCACCCCTTTCAGAAAGAGTCAAACTATTTTTCCAACTAGTGACCACAGACTACACACTACCAGAAGTACCTCAATAAGCATACATACTATGGTAGAATACAGCTTGGGATTTTTTTTTTTTCATGTTAATCAAGAACATTTCCAAAAAGGTAAAGGTGATGGGGGCTGGAGGGAAAAAAATAATAAAGGAAGGGAAAGAAAAAACTGTTTCACAAATGATCATGAGGAGAGCAGTTCCTCCTCCAGAGGGAACACAGAGGAGGCTGAGACTGAAAGTGGTATAAGCTGACAAGGTGGTGATGCAGTGGCTCCACTGAAAATAATAAAAATTACACAGGAGCTTTGCCCATAACATTTCACAGCTGAAAAAGACAGTTTTATACTAATAATTTCTCCTGTTGGTGTAGACAGTGTTCACATGCAGGGTTAACAACACAGCTATAACGCTTGCAGATGAGATTTTTCTCTCTCAACTAGGAAACATGGAGACAAACTGAAGAAACTGCCCCTAACTGCAACACTATATAAATACTTTCAGAAATCTCTATGGTAGATTGTAAAGGAAACGCAGCAACCCAGCCTCATTTCCTGGAAAAGAGAGCTTTTATCCCTTTCTAGGTCTCAGCCACAGCTCATTAACACTTCCATACAGTTTTAGTCATCATATATTCTAAGCCATTCTTTAATAACTAGTCTCAGATAGCAGTGATAGATGGAGAGCTTGCAGACTTAAAGTCAGTGTCTGTAGTTCCTTTCAACCATTACAATTATGGGCAAAAATGAACATGTTGTAGAAGGATGTAAAACCTGTTTCTTTGAAGAGATGGCCACGCCAGAGATTCCTTATGATTGGATGCAAGTATTTTGATTCATTCCTGATCACAGGAAACGTGTCTTTCTGAAACATGTCAGAAGATGACCTTAACCCTCGCCCGAGCAACAACTGAGCTTCAGCACATTAGAAGTACTTGTCAGGAGATTTTCTATTTGGAGAGCCCAAACATCTTTCCAATTCCTGTTCTATGCTTTTCTTCATATCAGTTACATATTGATTTTTTCAGAATGAAATCAGGCATAAGGAATCTATGTTCCAAGGTAAAGGCTAACAGGAAAGTGTTTTTACTGTTGCAACTGCACTTTGGTGATCAAATTGCACGAAGTCAGCTGAAAAAAGCAGGAAAATATTTCTCCCACTTTAACTTCAATTCAACATGTTCCAAGTGGTTCCTTTTTAATTATCCCATCTATGCTCTATTTCTGATTTGTTTTCTCTTGCATTTCATATAACAAATACTTCATACTGTGCTTTAGCCTTGAGTAGCTTTTTATCTCTTCTCTCCTACACCTCTGTGTCTGTTAGGACAGGTGTTTTCCCTTCTTGTTCCCAAGATTCTGTGCGTAACACTTTCCCAGATGTCCCAAATATCACATGTTTGATCAAATTTGTTTTTCAGTGAAACAGGAAAATATTCTAAAGATAGTAAGTAGAAAGAAGTTCCTTAAGCTTTTCCATTTTATGTCTCCTTAACATCTTACATCACTAAACTAATTCTAAATACCTTTGTAGTACTCTACTTAGCTCTTCACTTGAAGATCCTAGAGAACGCACAAAAAAAAAAAAGCCTCCCTATCCAAAACACCATCTTCAGAGTAGGACATAAATGTCCATACTGATGTCAACTTTTTCCTCCCACCCAGAGAACAAACCGCAAAAGACAAAGTGAATATGGTCCCTTGGGTCAGTCTTAAATCTAATGATCTGAGCTTTATATTGGTGCACTAGGAGTCTGAACAGTAGGCTTAAACACTCCTCCTTATAGTAAGCTAAATAAACGGGCTGAACCTATGTCTGACTCCTGGAGCATTGAGTGGAGAACAGTCCCAGAATAAACAGGCAACCACTTCTCAGCTACAGTTAAGAGGATTGTTACAGTTCCTCCAGAACCAGAGAGAAACTTTTAGAAGGGAACCTGACATTTGAGAAACCATATTTTATAGCTGCTCTGCAGGTAAGCTTTAGAAAAGGGTGAAGCTGAAGATAAATCTTTCACTGTCTGTTACTCTGAATATATGGTCATGGTTGAGATATCTACTTCCCTCACTGCATCACTTATGATTCCACTTAAGGGCAGAGACTCTAATTTTTCCTTTCTAATCAAGCTTAGCAGCACTCTGCAACTAAATATTTAATGAATTTATCCCTTAGAAATCAAACTGAGGCACAGAAAAATGAAAATGGAGATAAATATTTTCATAGAAATAATTGATGGATAGTAAATTTAATGGAATACAGTAATCATAACAACTGAAATTAGAAATTCTGCGAAAAGCAAGGGGTTGCACAAATTATTTCCTGTAGTGACCTATAGTATGTGAGTTTATATACACATATCCATAATACATATCAATTTCTGAGCATGTAAGTTCCCAAAGGCTTGATGACTAGATGTATTAAAAATATAGACTTTCCTAATGACGTTCCCCATAGCGTATGCATATATGTAGCAGATGCACCACAAGAATGTAGATATGAAGAAATGTTCTAAAGGTAAATGAAGCTGAAACACCTACACAATCCTACCAAAATTAAGTCTGACAAAGACATCTCCTCCAAAATGAATCATGCAGTAAAATTAAATTATTACTTAATATTTTTTAAATAAGGCTTTTTCAGTTTTCTGACTTAACAGTCCTCAAAAAAAAGTACAGTTTTATTCATACAATAGGGTTAGTGCAACTGTATGCTTGCCTATAGGTGAACATTGCAAGCTTGCCTACTTTTAGTGATAAGAAGCAAAAAGGATTTGTTCAAAACTTCAGGGCTATATGCTGCTTAACCTCTGAAATCAGCATTACAATTAATCTCAGCAGAATAGGCACTTAATAGAAAAATCTACTCATATGATGAATTCTGGATGTATCCTGAAAGCTCCTTTAATTTCCTCTTCCCTCATAACAGTTTTGGCTATACTCTAGAAAGACCATTTAAATACAACAAGGAAATATGTAATACATGGGAACAATAGCCAATTAAAAAACCCCAAAAGACACAGAAACGGCTTATTTTGCCCTATATTTTCCAGATTCTTGATGAAGGCATTTATATGTTTAAAAACATTTTTGGTGAGTACTTCAGGAGATTCTATCACATTTGAAATTGAAGGTAGTGCAACTTCAAAGTCTCGTGAATCAAGTCTAAGAAATACCTTAGGACTAACTGAATTGTCAACATGTAGAGAATGTAAACACTAAAATATTTCAGTCAGGAAACTTGAAGAATTCTAAGAAGAATACAAGTAAACTTTAAATGCACACACGACTTCCTCCAGGCCAGAAGTATCAGATTTCTAGAACAGCAAGACATGTGTGAGTTCTTCACATTTGCTGTATGGATGCAATGAGTGCAATATTCTTATCATTTATGATAAGAATAAATATCAGAATTCTGTCATCATAACAAGGAAAAGTACAGTAAAAAAGAGTTAAAATTATGATAAGTGAGAATCAGTAACAGTGCTGACTTAACCATTACATAGCCATAGTATTTGGAAAAAATATAGTGGGACATCCCTAACTGGAAAAGCACTGAAGTCCACCAAATTCCTAAAGCAGGTAACATTTGCAAGAAAAACTGCAATTACCTGTTACAAATCTCAGTTCCCAATATCTCAATGATGCAGCTGTTTCAACAGAATTTTATAGTGATAATAGCTTTAGACATAGAATAGGAAATTACAGCTTGATAAATTTGCATTAGTGCTTGTGGGATTAAGAATAACTCAGAGAATCATGAAAAACAGCCAAAGAATTATTATATGACCAAGAACTTCCTATCACATACACTTAAATAAACATTCTCACCATTTTCTGCTTAGAAAAGAGCATAAGTACCTGTCTTGTATCAGACTTTTCATCATACTATTTATCATAATTTTCACCAGTGGAAAAAATTGGGACAGACTTACATTTTTCCTTACTGCTGTTACTATTATGTACAAAATCCCCATCAGGACGCATTGTAGGGAAATCATCTTCATCATCTTCTACCACTAAATTTGAGAGAGAGTGTGTTATGAGAGTGGGAAAGCTTTTCTAGTAATTCTTTCTTGCACACTAAAGTAAGAGCATTTTCATGGGTAAGCAGTACTTTTCCCCATAACAACAGCCATGAACCCTCCCTCCCTTTTTTTTGTTTTTTTTTGACCCAAGACCACTATCAGCATAGATGTCGGTAAATATCAGAATCTAAGATTTGCTAAGTATTGAAGTTTAGCACTCGATTTTATGGTAAGAACAACATATTTCAATGTTACAACTGAATAAGTAAGGAGCCATGATTCCAGCAGCTATCTAGTCTTCTATACCGGAAAGTTTAAAGAAAGTGGAACTGCACTTATCTAGTGTTTTATTACTACCAAAATTTTCAGACTGCCAGAACAACCACAGGGATGAATATAAATGCCTCAGTAAAGTGCATAGATATGACAACAAGTTGTGCTCTGGGATAAGCAATTTAGATATTTAGACATTCACACCTTAGTCTACTAAGGTCTTGAGTGGGCATTCAGTGCTCTAGTTCCAGTCAATACATCTCAGAAGCATTCCTTATGGCAGCACCTTTGACTTTTTTAAAGAATGTACTGTTTCTATCAGAAGTAATATCCCATTGATTTTTCCAAACAAAAGGTAAGAGCAATAAACTAACTTAAATTCATCTTATGAGGGTTAGCAATTGGTATTCTATAATGTAAAACACTTAAAAAGAGCACTTCTTTTGTACAGTTCACAGGTATAGGTTAACATCAGGTAGATTTTTATACAAATCTGAATTCTGAAGCGAAACTAGTTAACACTGTTTATGCAGAAATATATACGACTGATCCCTTTAGTAAAGAGTAAACTTAAGATACATATTTTATTTATATGACATCAAATGCTATTGTACTTATACCAAGAGGTTGATGGGGTAAAAAACAAAAATCTATGGAGGGCAGAGTTTTCAGTTACTGTGTTACCTTTATCCCTCTGGAGTTCATCCTTGGAAACTGCATCTGCACAAGCATCAAAGTATTTCTGTAAAGTATCAACTTGTCTACACAAGATGTCTCTAAAAGTTTCCATTTCTGCAAGCTTCTCACGTAAGCTATGGCCCTTCTGAAAAGGAAAAAGGAAAAAAGCCTGAAATGCTTCTACACACTAAACAATAGACTGATGCATAAATTTAAAAAATGTATTTCTGCAGTGATAGTGAAGAAATTGAAGTACACTAAAGATATTTTAGATATCAGCAGTCATGAAATCCTGCTAATGTCAGAAGACACCATATAGAAGTGTTCCTTACTCATTTTGTCCACTAGTCTCAATTTCGCTCTTGATTGCATCTGCTACTTCAGAGCATTCAACAAAAGCTCCTTAAAAATTGGTCTTGCATGCTACCAACTTTATGCCCATTTGCCTGAAAACAGTCAGCCCTAGTTTAAGAACTTTATTCTGATCCTTACATCCCAGTTCATACATTAAATATTCATACAGTTGACATAAGGAGAGCCATAATTTGTCAGTCAGTACTGTATCAAATTTATTGAGCCACAGAATCAGTGTTTGTTTTCATTTGGAGCCCCTGCTATTCTGGTGAGTAAACTAGAAAAAGCTAATAAACATGCTCACAACTTTGATTTCCTTGCCACTAGAAGATGACACTACAGTTAAAAGAGAAAACTGCACAGAGGCATGAGAGAGCTTCCTCATATCATCTGTTCACCACCATATGATGAAATATTAACAATTAACTAAATATTTTGTATTTTTTCTATAATTACGTGAATGAGTCTTCACATGTTACTTCTTTTCCAGGTGTGTGTGCACCAATACTAAGAAAACTTTATTCACTAACCTTGAACGAAGAGGTGGATGTTGCAGAGTATCCACTTGCTCCAGAGACAAGAGACACCATGGAGCCATGGCGTCGCAAACTTGACTCTGATCCATAGCCAGATTCAGTCTGAAAAGCAAACCACACACAAAACTAGAGTGCTGAGGCTTTTAATGAAAAAGAAATCACAAAAGCAAGATTAATGCCATTTCCTCTGAAACCCACTCATTTGGTTTTTGTCATGAAGCAGCAGTGGTTTTAATAACTCAAATTGTGCCTGCATCTAAGATGTTGATGCAGCATCTGCAAAGTTTTTTGTTATCTTAATGATTTCTAAAAAAATTGCTATGTACAACTGATATGTGCCCCCAAAAGAACAAGGCAACATATATTTAAGGGTTCAAGAGAAGGACCATGTTCCGTTATTTCGGTTTATATAACTCCTAACAAGTAATTTTCACACAGCCTATTCAAAAAGCTATATTACTCTACCATAAATTGGGGGATTAACACGGTTCAGTCAAGATAATCAGCCTCAGTCAATCCTTCCAATCACATAAACAGTACCATTTTCTTTTTAAAAGCAACAAAATAGAGGTCATAGAAAATGAAACAATTACTGCTATCGAGTTTTCTTTCTGTTCCAGGTTTCTCTAGCAAAATTATTTATACTAGATTGAAATTATTTTTTTACTGAAAACAAAAGTCTACATAAACCAAAATGAGATACTAAAAGTAAGAGAGGAGTGACTAATTAAATAATGAAAACAAAAACATATCTTGATTAAAATAACATATACAAGATCTAAAAATATAGAGTCTGACAAATTTCCTCAGAAATCAAACGGAATCGGATACCAAGGAACTGGAGGAGAATACATTTCCCTAAATGTTAATGTGAATGACCTGTGCATGGCAAAGCAGGAGAAAAATCCTGAAAGAGAATGTAAGCAATAAACATATTTCAGAATAATATATGAAATACTGTCATTAGATGAGTTTGATCAAGTAGATGGTGACGACATTATGAAAGACTTTTCACAGAAATAAATTCTGCAGCAGGACAGAAATTCAGATGGGGCAGGGAGAAGGGGAGACAAAACAAATGGTATAGGACAAACAAGAAGCAGTGATGAAATTCCAGCTGTTGTACATTTTATGGAAAAATTTGAAACTGCATAGGCTTTGGGAAGGCAGGAGAGCGCTGACAAATTAAGATGCAAATGAACTTCAAAAAAGCAAGGAGAAAGCACAAAAAGTTGTATGAAATGTTGGCTAAAAAGGATTTGGACAAAGTGGGACAAAGTATATATGTCTGAATTAGAAGTAAGAGTTTGGGCATACAGCAGCTTTGTTTCAAAAGTGTTTTATAAGCATAAACCTTATAAGAACATTTTACAAGAGTCACCCAACACTTTGAAGCATGTCTTTTAAAATATTTTAAATGCAAATATAAAAATACTTCACTGTTTTTCCAGTAACTTCAGTGTTTATTTAAGCATATACTACAAATATTAAGATGACCCTGAATATGTTTTTTTTACAGTCAGTTTGACAGTGGAAGCTAATTCATTTTTTTCTGTAAGTTGTACACACTAGGAAAGAAGACAAAATTTCATTTCAACAGGATATGGCTTAGAGCACAGATCAATTTTAAAATGTAGCCAAAATATCCATTTCATTGAGGTTAGAGTATTTTAACTACGGACAGCAAACACTTTCTGATCACTTTCTCCTTTAAGTGAGAAAGACCTACACAAAACCTGGATTTCAGCTTAGGAAGTGAAACTTCCATATTCCTTTATTTGAAGATTTAATCAAAGCCACATCTTAATAGTAATGTTCTAGAACCTCCAAGAATAGATGTAATCTTAGAAGCAGAAAATCTGATGGCTTATATTCCACATTTGAATTAACTCATTTTCTTCCAGTATTAGGCATACAATCAGTGCTCAGTTACTTTAGTTCATAAAATAAAAGCTGAAGCTGAAAGAAAAAAACCTTCTTTCCATATCAATATGTAAGCTTGTTTTTTTTAAGGTACCTTTTCAGAAGGGTATTTATTTCTCTGTCATTTATGCTTGTGATTATTAATTCCACTAAACAGTTTATCCATGCTTCAGAATTGTACACAAAACAGCATACATGATTATCATCCAGATACAGCTATCAGCTTGCAAACCTTACCAATAAAAAGGTGCTACATAATTAACTATTTATTTTTGCAATCAAGAAGCAAATTGAGCAGGCGTTAACAGCAGACCAAAAAGCACACATTAATCGAAAGCACGTGCATTTACAGACCATGTTCACAAAACTGTCTCAAGACAATTATGTCTGAATAGCCAAGAGGAAAAAAATAAAGTTACATCAAGAATACTTATTTGTCAAAAGAACCAGAAAATAAGTATTGATTTGTAACTGATGTACAGACAAGCCATCCTGCTCACAGCAGACAGAAGCAAGCAGAATAACACAAACAAAGAAAGCATGAATCATGCAAAGCCCCACCATTCTACTACTGCAACATCTAAACGAGAGCAGGTCACTGCCGCATTTATGTCTTGCAAAGCAGATCATCATTAACTATTCACTGCAGAAACAATCAATTACATTGAGAAGAGGAATGTAGACAGAAGCTTCTTCTTTTTACACAATTTTTAATTTAAGATAAAAACTGGAAAAGCAGGTAGAGTTCATATCATAGAAACCAACAGTCTTTGCTTGAAAACAAAATTATTTGTAGAAGCTGTATCAATTCATACCATCAAGCACTAATGGTAAATTGCCATGCTCAGTAAAAAGATGCAGTTCTTTGAAATTCCATGCATACATCACAGCTTCAAAGCTACACTAAAACTGGCATTTGACAGTATATTGCAACACCTTCAGCTTTCTAAGGCAATGAGTGAAATCCATTAATCCTTTTGTTACGACAGACAAGAGGAAAGAGCCACATGATCCAAAGCTTCATGTGATCCTTTAACTGGAGCAGACGCTAGTATCAGCAACAAGGCAGTGCGTCAGAAAAGCTGCTTTCAGTAAAAAAAGCTAAGTGTTCGCAGAATCATATTGCAGATCTCCATCACTGCTTGCACTGATCCGCCACGTAGAAATTTTCTTGAGTGGAAAATAATACTCTTGAGTAAAGCACAGACTTATAGGAAAGTTCTCCCACTTAAAATCAAATAAAGCAAATTATTTTCAGGTCTTCAAGGAATTATTTTGATTATGTCTCAATTCAGTGCCTGTGAAGCACTTCAATGTACATTTATCCACCAAGGCAGATATATTCAGTTAGCATTATAAATTATTTATTATTTTACATAACACATGCAGCAGGCAGCTCCTCCTCCTAAGGCATTCAGCTCACTCTAGGAGGTGGAAACAGATATTAGGACACTGTAAGTATAATCTCATTCTCTGCAGTATTTGTGAAAAACACCATTCACACATCCGAGAGATCAAGCCACATCTTAGGAAAAAACAGAATAGAAAAAAGTAATAACACAAAACTAGAGAGCTGAAAGGTACTATGAAAGACTAGGTGGCAAATAAGCAGGCAAGCTCTGTAAAACAACTACGTCCCAAAGGTAATTTTTAGACCTGCAGCAAATGCTTCAGAAAGAAGAGTTAGTGAGTGCCAGGATGAGCCAAGGCAGGGCTACCCAGCAGATGGCTGCACAGTAACACCACCACAGACACTACAGGTAGGGCTGTACAGGATACATTTCTGAGCCCTGAAATCAAAGATATAATTATCACGTGACTGTAGGTCTGATTTTTCAATTGCTCTTAAGCTGCTGACAAGGGAAACCTAAGGTTTCAAAAACAAGGTGGTAGTTAGCAGGAAGGTAGAAATAGGAATTTCACAGTCAGAGCTGCTGGATGATGATTCCCCACCCACAGCCCTCCCAAACACAGTGCAGAAGACTACACAGAAAGGATAAAGCTTCTAATATGACGTCTTCTGCAAGTGCGAAACCAAGGAAAGACTTGTAGATATAACTTTCCTCCAGCAGTGATAAATGTTGCAACTCCGTAGTAAATAAACATACTATGTGCACAGGAGGAAACCCCAGGAATTCTGAGCTGAAAAGTATAATAAGACAACTGAAAAATTAGCCTTAAGATTACTGTAATAGCGATATCAAATCTAAAAGCAGAATGAAGGATAGCCAGGAGGACGCCATGACTGTCCTGCTCCTCAGATTTGGGAACCACTGTGTCAAAGTGATATTTTGCAAAATAAAACTCTTCACTGAGCAAAAGTACCGAAACCCAAGCTGACAATAACTGCAACCCTCAGTATACCTAGTAACAGAGTAAAGCAGCTTGTACTCCTGGGTCACGAGACTATAGCAAGACTAGGAGAGGGCTACATTTGTCCCTCCCGTGAGTCTAACCTGTTAGTAGAGGGATAAGATCTGTATTGCTATATAAGAACTAATAAACTGATTTCTGCTATAAGACACTGTCAGAAAAAGCACTGATGTTCCAGCCTCAGCTCCCAATGCACTGAAGTAAGTGTTCTTACTTGCTTTCATGCTTTGAAAGCTAATGGGAGTAGTCATAGATTTTAAAAATGAATTCATTCAATTACATACTGCCTCAACTGCACAACTGTGCTTTTAAAAATAAGAACAGTACTGATCCCAACTGAAAGCACTTGTCTTTCAGTAGTTACACGAAATTGCATAATAGTTATATTAAATATTATTACATCATCGCTATGTATGAAATCCAAAAGGGAGTGTTGCCAGGGTCAATGCACAAGTGCTAGCTAAGGCAGACGAGCAAGGAGGCAGCAGGAAAACCCCCTGCAGGAGCCCCAGAACTGTCTCTCCCATAGAGCGCCCACTAGGTGGAGAGAAAGCCCAGGCCTTGCCGGGACGGAGCATGCAGGGATAACCCAGCAAGTCCCAACAGCGGGATGGAGCAAGGAAGACTAGACCACACACTGTGTTCACAATGGACAGGCATTTTGGCAATATTTTACTTATCCTTCAAAACGGCAGGGAAGGTATGATTGCCTATTACTCTACTCCTTGGTTTGGGTTTATTTTTAATCTATTTAAGACAGTTAAGTACCATATTAATATCACCTCTGTAGAAGAGGAAAACCACAT